TTGTGTCTGTAGGCTGAGGTTGAATAAATACAGGTTTTTTTTTACAAGTCCTAAAGAAGTTCTTTAGTTAGTAAATAGTAAGTAAGATGAGTATTGTTAGGTATTTGGATAATTTAGGTACATTCCCTCTCTTTGGGAGGACTTGTGATTTTCCTGAATGCACTAGTATGAATCTGTGGAAATAGAGCTCCAAGGTTATAAAGTAACAGAAAAATGTATTTTGAGTAAGTTTGTTTTACAAGCTTATACTCATAGACTTGGTCTTGTGTAAATTTGGCACTATTAAATGGCATAGAATTTGGCCTTAATGTTAGTATAAGTTACAGTATAGCATTTAATAGTTTATGTGTTTATTTTAATGGGTATTAAAGTACTGAGCATATATATATATTGTGTTGGAATTCTTTCTATAGTATGATACAGGCTATATTAGAAGACTGCAGTCATTGCTTGGTGTAAGAATTATTCATGTTCTGCAACAGTATGTACTTGTAATAATAACCATTTTCCTGGTTAAAAGACTAGTACATGGTTATTGTGGTTATTCACAGTGTGTAAAATACAACTGTGTTTTAACACAGAAAGAGAATTCTTGACTAACTTTTATTAGATACAGTGTAATACTTTCTTAGTGTTCTTTTTTTTTTTTTTCCAGAAAAACTTAACAGGTTTATTTATAATTATTACAGAGTTGAACCACTGAAACTTGTTCACCGAAACATTTTAACTTGCATTAATACTTTACATCTCCGCATTTATGTTAAAAATTCATACACAAATGAAAATTGAAAAACTGCCAGTACCTGATTTCTGTCCCCTATTTTTCCACTCGCAATCATGTACTTAGGTACCTTTTGACCCCATGGGGAAAAAAACTAATATTCAGAAATACCAATAACAGGAAGAAGAGAAATTCTTTTTTTTTTTTTTTTGCGGGGGAGGGGAGAATGAAATGTTTCCTATCATAGTGGATTCTTAAGCACGTTCTCCATGTGTGCGGTGTGCTAGCTGCATGTCTTTTGGCATAATTATTACACGTTTGGCATGGATAGCACAAAGGTTGGTGTCTTCAAAAAGGCCAACCAGATAGGCCTCACTTTGCCTCCTGCAAAGTACTGATAGCGCGCTCTGGAAGTGCAGATCTGTTTTAAAGTCCTGAGCAATTTCTCACACCAGACGCTGGAAGGGAAGTTTGCAAATCAGAAGTTCAATGGACTTCTGATAGCATCTGTCTAATTTCACAGAGTGCCACAGTACCAGGCCTGAAACAATGAGGTTTCTTCACCCCTCCAATAGAGGGTGTACTCTTGCGAGTGGCTTTTGTAGCCAGTTGCTTTCTGGGTGCTTTACTACTGGTAGCTTTGCGGGCAGTCTGCTTTTTACTGAGCCATGGAGACCTCCTTACTTACCCCCCTTCTCCTTCGGCTGGAGCTCAGCAAGCGAGAGGCGGCGCTGGCATTGGAGAGCGACGGCAGCTGCAAACACCTTTCTTAGTGTTCTTAGCTTCCTCCTTTTAATTTTTGGCCACTTCCTTCAACCAACAGCATGGCCATCTTTATAATAAAGAATAGTTAAAACTAAGCAAGCAGTCCAGGCGCAGAGGCTCATAATCCCAGCACTTTGGGAGGCTGAGGTGGGTTGATTGCTTGAGGTCAGGAGTTCTAGACCAGCCTGGCTAACGTGGTAAAATCCCTGTCTCTACTAACATAAAATACAAAAATTAGCCAGGTGTGGTGGCGGGTGCCTGTAATCCCAGCTACCCAGGAGGCTGAGGCAGGAGAATTGTTTGAACCCAGGAGGTGGAGGTTACAATGAGAAGATTGTGCCACTGTACTCCAGCCTGGGTGACAGAAAAACCAACAGAACAAGCAAATCATCAAAACAGAAACCTGTTTGAGCAGGTTGTGCTGTAAGAACTTTTCTGCCTGGCTTCTGCTTTATAGCATCTAAGATAGACTGGAGGCCTACATATGATTTCTGTTAAAATTCATGATATGAGTTGTGAGTTATTAATCTGCCCATTTCAACTGGGCAGTGTATTTTTAATGGTTATTGGATCCAGGAACTAGATTACTGAGGAATTGGTAGGATTCCTTGACTGGACAGCTTTAAGAACAGGAAGTCTAGTGAAATGTCAGATACCACCCATTCCTAACAATTTTTTGTTTTGTTTTTGTTTTTTGCTTGCAATTTAAATTCATTTTCCAAATTGTGGTTAGTTTTATGAATTTATTTGAAAAAAGTTGAAATTATTTCATAATGAAGACAAGTCAGAACAGGATTATCTAGCATTTGTCCTCTTTCTATGAGGTGCTTATAGCCTGATTCCTAATGCACAGTTCAGTGAAAATAGCATTTATTTGGTTAACAGCTTTTGAGAAATGTTACTTTATTTCTAAATAACTATGTACTTGGCAGTTTATTTTTCCTGTTAAGTTTACTAACAGTTACTGACTGACTTGTTAATATAAGTACGTGGTTGTTTTTGAAAGTTAAAATGAAACTGGGTTTGGTGGCTCATGCCTGTAATCCCAGCACTTTGGGCGGCTTGTGGGAGGGTGTCACCTGACCTCAGGAGTTTGAGACCAGCCTGGCCGACAGCGAAACCCTGTCTCTACTAAAAACAAAAATTAGCTGGGTGTGGTGGTGCGCACCTGTAATCTGAGCTACTTGGGAGGCTGAGGCAGGAGAATCTTAAACCCAGGAGGTGGAGGTTGCAGTGACGTGAGATTGCGCCACTGCACTCCAGCCTGGGGGCTACAGAGCGAGACTTTGTCTCAAAAAAAAAAAAAAAGTGACCTAAAATGATATCGACAATTTTGTAGCTAGGAGTTAGAGAAAGCTAAGAGGAATGAGGAATGTTTTAAACCTTGATGCTCCATGGAGAAATTTATGCAGACTGAGATTTCCACCGGATAAAAAGAGAGAAGGGCTGACAACAAAGAAGGTTAGGTATTTATGATACCTTCTATAATAAAAAGCAAAGCTTCTTTAAAAATAAAGCTGGCTGGGCATGATGACTCATGCCTGTAATCCCAGCACTTTGGGAGGCCAAGGCAGGCAGATCACAAGGCCACGAGCCAACATGGTAAATCTCCCATCTCTACTAAAAATGCAAAAAAAATTAGCTGGGTGTGGTGGCACGTACCTATAGTATAGTCCCAGCTACTCGGGAGGCTGAGCCAGGAGAATCACCTGAACCTGGGACACAGATGTTGCAGTGAGCTAAGATTGTGCCACCAAACTCCAACCTGGTGACAGAGTGCGACTCTGTCTCAAAAAATAAAAATAAATAAATAAAGCTAATGTCGGACAGGCATGGTGGCTCACGCCTGTAATCCTAGCACTTTGGGAGGCCAAGGCAGGCAGATCACTTGAGGTCAGGAGTTTGAGACCACCTTGTCCAACATGAAAAAACCTGGTCTCTACTAAAAATACAAAAATTAGCAGGGCAAGGTGGTGCTTGCCTGTAATCCCAGCTACTAAGGAGGCTGAGGCAGGAGAATCACTTAAACTCTGGAGGTGGAGGTTGTAATGAGCTGAGATTGCACCACTGTACTCCAGCCTGGAAGACAGCAAGACTCCTACTCATTCATAAATTAATTAATTAATTAGTTAATTAAAATAAAGCTATTGTGTCTTAAGAAGACATTCTGTCATACCGTAATGCTTTGTTGCTACTCCAAAATTGGGCTGAATTATCTTGTTTATGTTAATAAAAGGTTTTTATTTCCATCCTAGTAAAATAAAAGGTTTGTAGTGTTTTACAGAGCAAAGCCTCCTGATATGTAGGTATAACAAGGGCTTTAGTGGTGTTCATAGATAATAATCCAGCTGTTGCTGTTCAACAGTAGCATAAATGAATGTTATGTCATTGAGTCTGTTTTGTAGGAAGGAAAACCAAAAGAGAAGAGGGCAAGATATTTTTATCAGTTTGGTTAATGAACCAGTCTGTGAAACGTCAATTACAAGCAAATTTGGCTATGCTTTTTTTTTATAAGATAATGAATATGCTGCTTTCATACCTTTAGCAAATGAAAAAGCCCAGATTTCTATGCTTGCTCCAGACCTCTGTTCGGTAGTTGAGAGTATCTGAGATGCAGTGAAAGACTTGTAGGTAGCTAAATGGGAAAGGTTAGTATTTAGCAGAAACATAGCTGTGTATTTCAGTTTTGTTTTTATCTGAAGGAAAATGACCAGGTGGCATTAGTACAGGTCTTGACGTTAAACTTGAAGCAAAGGAAAGATTGTCAGAAAGCTATTTGTGTTGTGTGATGGTCTTATGGCATAAATGAAAATTGCTGTGAAATTTACATAATTATTTACACTAATAATCAAGGCTTAACTGGACATAGAAACCAAGCCGTCCATCCTGTTTTGATCATAAGTGCCTCATATCTGTCAACTTAAAAAAACAAGCTTGTGGGCTGGGTGTAGTGGCTCATCCTATAATCCCAGCACTTTGGGAGGCTGAGGCATGCAGATCATCTGAGATCAGGAGTTTGAGACCAGCCTGTGTAACCTAGTGAAACCCTATCTCTACTAAAAATATAAAAATTAGGCCGGGCGCGGTGGCTCAAGCCTGTAATCCCAGCACTTTGGGAGGCCGAGGCGGGTGGATCACGAGGTCAAGAGATCGAGACCATCCTGGTCAACATAGTGAAACCCCGTCTCTACTAAAAACACAAAAAATTAGCTGGGCATGGTGGCGCGTGCCTGTAATCCCAGCTACTCAGGAGGCCGAGACAGGAGAATTGCCTGAGCCCAGGAGGCGGAGGTTGCGGTGAGCCGAGATCGCGCCATTGCACTCCAGCCTGGGTAGCAAGAGCGAAACTCCGTCTCAAAAAATATATATAAAAATTAGCTGGGCGTGGTGGTGGGCATCTGTAATCCCAGCTACTCGGGAGGCTGAGGCAGGAGAATTGCTTGTACCCAGAAGACAGAGGTTGCAGTGAGCCAACGCAGTGCCATTGCCCTCCAGCCTGGGCAACAGAGTAAGACTCTGCTCTCAAAAAAAAAAGTTTATGATCAGTAAGTTATTTTATTTGGAATGCTTTGATTTACATCCAACTTTTTCAGAAACGCATTACTTTTTAGATGTAGGATATAGTCACTGAAGGGGGAGTACCAGTATACATAAATGTATTATGTAAAAATGGAACAAAAGAGGGTGGGGTCAAAGATAAAGACCATGATGTAAATTTTGTACCTTCTTGCACTTTGTGGTATTTCATGGATGATAGAGCATTTTAAAGTGGCATGGTTGCAAAAATGCATGTATCAGGAATTAATAAGCTAACAGGGAAATTTTAAGAATTTCATGCTTCAGTATGCTTGTTTGTCTTCAGAACGTATTTTAAGTCAGAATGAGCAAAGATAGTGGTCAAAGTTGGAAGAAGGTGTAATTTTACTCATTTTTTTTCTTTTTGACTTACTTGAACCTTGACATCTGTGCTATAGGTGAGTTTAGATAGGTTTGTACAAATATTTCAGCCTGGGTTGCCTCACTCTAACTATATCTTGATTTCTTAGCATGACTTAGTGAAAGCTTCTTTTAAGAATCTTCAGGTTATAAAATAGTGAAAATTGAACTTAGGTGGCGGGGATATTACAGTTGTTTAGATTTATGTTTGAATTATTTATATTAAAATTGTTCATATTTTAGGAACTAGAATGAAACATGAAAGGGGAGGAGGGTGAAGAGTATGGTAAAAAAACATTTAGAGAAATTTAGTAAATTCTCTGTTAGAAACTAGACTTTTGAACAATTTTAAAGACTATAAAATTGTTTTTTTAAAAAAAATAAACTAGTTATTTGCACTTTACCTGCTGGCTTTTCCATTTGGTAGATAACATTCTGAACTCCAGCAGAGTTTTATAATCCCCACGTGCTTAAATATACTAAATGTTCTTTTTCCATTAAGGTTAATGTTCGTGAAGAAATTGAAGAGTTTTTTCCAAGAATGTGGAAGATAAATCAAGATAAAAGAAGGCTAATGAAAAGTATTAAAGATCAGAAAATTAAAATTGAATGGGGGAAAAAATTGAACAGAAGATTGGTCAGATAGAAGCACTTGAATATTTTTTTTAAGGCTATTTTGAATTGTTTGAATTGGGGAAGAATACACGAAGTATGAAAAATGAAAAAATGAAGAATGAAGAGAAGTAGAAAGCAAGAGTGAAGTAGAATTAAAAGAATCTGGAAGAATGAATGGGTCCTAGGTTAAGTAAATGTATGGTTTATGTTCCAGTGTCTGTATGATCAAGTTGTAGATGAATTTGCATGATTACTTAGTTAATAGAGAATTGGTGATCTGGTTCAAGTAGGGAATTACTGAGGACAGTTAGCAGTATTAACAAGGGGTTATTATTGAGCTGAAATTTTTTCTGGAGGGTATTGCCTAACCATTTGTTTTTCAGGAGCAATCAATATAAATAATTACGGTACTTTAAATGTTAGGTGTTAGGCATCTACATGACCAGTGCCATTTGTAATACTGTCTTCTTTGTTAGGAGTCTCGCTCTCAGTCAAAATCTCCAACGGGAACTCCTGCTCGTGTAAAATCGGAGAGCAGGTCAGGATCTCGTAGTCCATCAAGGGTTTCCAAACACTCTGAATCCCATTCTCGATCAAGATCAAAATCCAGGTAAGTGTATTTAAGATAATGCTTAAAATATTCTGGCCTGGCACGGTGGCTCATGCCTGTAACCCCAGCACTTTGGGAGGCAGGCGGATCAGCTGAGGTTGGGAGTTCGAGACCAGCCTGACCAGTATGAAGAAACCCTATCTCTACTAACGTGTGTGTGTGTGTGTCTGTGTGTGTGTACAAAATTAGCCGGGCATGGTGGCACATGCCTGTAATCCCAGTTGTGTGTGTGTGTGTGTCTGTGTGTGTGTACAAAATTAACCAGGCATGGTGGCACATGCCTGTAATCCCAGTTACTCGAGAGGCCGAGCCAAGAAAATCACTTGAACCCGGGAGGCGGAGGTTGTGGCAAGCTGAGATTGGGCCATTGCCCTCCAGCCTGGGCAACAAGAGTGAAACTCCATCTCAAAAAAAAAAAAAAAAATTCTTCTGTGGTTTTTGAGGACAGAGCAGTTTTTGGCTGCATTTTGTATAGAAATTTCACAAAGACTCAAAATTATGAAGTAGTTTTTCTCAGACTGCACTTTATAAATGAATGCTGTATCCCAGACAAAGACTTAGAAGTACAGCTGGAGCCCAGGAGTTCCAAGCTGTATTGATTGTCAGAGAGACTATCTCTAAAAAATAAGAAATTAGTAATAAAGTTGTCCTCCATCCCAATTAATATATCAGATACTTACAACCAATACAAATTATGTGTGTATATCTCTTGGTTTAAATGTGTTTGGCATTTGAGAATTAATGTTTGGTTTTATGCCAACAATATTTTTTGTTTGTCAACAACATTTATACAACAAAAAGGCAGTTTTCTGCATTGGAGACTCACATGTAATTTAATGCAGAGAATATTGATGTGTGTATGTTATGCTCATTGGTTAGTACTATTGAAAAGCATTTTTAGCATTTACATTCCAGCTACATTTTTATCTGAAGATTCTGACTCTGTGTCCAGGGTAGAGCTCTGGTCAGATGTAATTTGGCAGAAGAGTCCTCAGCTGATTCAGAGCCCCACCATCACAGACAACAAAAATGCTATAGTGAACCAATGCAAAGTTCACTGTCAAATGTCCCAGGTGTACTGGGGTAGGATAAAAGTTGTTTCCCCCCGCCCAACCCGAGACAGAGTTTCGCTCTTGTTACCCAGGCTGGAGTGCAATGGCGCAATCTCGGCTCACCGCAACCTCCGCCTCCTGGGTTCAGGCAATTCTCCTGCCTCAGCCTCCTCAGTAGCTGGGATTACAGGCACGCACCACCATGCCCAGCTAATTTTTTGTATTTTTAGTAGAGACGTGGTTTCACCATGTTGACCAGGATGGTCTCGATCTCTTGACCTCATGATCCACCCTCCTTGGCCTCCCAAAGTGCTGGAATTACAGGTGTGAGCCACCGCGCCCGGCCCTCTTTTTTGTTGTTTAAGATGGGTTTTCACTGTGTCGGTCAGGCTGGTCTTGAACTCCCGACCTCAGGTGATCTGCCCACTTTGGCCTCCAAAGTGCTTGGACTACAGGCGTGAGCCACCACTTCCGGCCTTTTGTTGTTTTTAGGTAGGATAAAAGTTTTAAGGATTGGGTGCAATGGCTCACACCTATAATCTCAGAACTTTGGGAGGCCGAGGTGGGTGGATCATTTGAGGTCAGGAGTTCAAGACCAGCCTGGGCAACTTGGTGAAACTCTGATTCTACTAAAAATACAAAAATTGGTCTGGCATGTGGCTCACGCCTGTAACTCCAGCACTTGGGGAGTCCAAGGTGGGCAAATTGCTTAAGCCCAGGAGTTCAAGACCAGCGTAAGCAACATGGCAAAAACCTTATCTTTACAAAAATATATATATATAAATTAGCCAGGTGTGGTAGTGCATGCCTGTAGTCCTAGCTGTCTGGGAAGCTGAGGTGGGAGAATTGATTGAGACCAGGAGACACGTTGCAGTCAGCTGAGATCATGCCACTGTACTCCAGCCTGGGTGACAGAGCAAGACCCTGCCTCAAAAAAAACAAACAAACAAAAAAAAACTTTATGTAGAAGGTAGCAGGAAATCAAAAGGAATTTGTGTTTTTGTGGTTGTTTGTCTCTTTGTTTGTTTTTGAGGCAGAGTCTCGCTTTGTCACCAAGCTGGAGTGCACTGGTGCACTCTTGGCTCACTGCAACCTCCACCTCCTGGGTTCAAGCAATTATCCTGCCTCAGCCTCCCAGGTAGCTGTGACTACTGGCACACGCCACCACACCTGGCTCATTTTTGTATTTTTAGTAGAGACTGGTCTCAGTCTCCTGACTTCATGATCTGCCCACCTCGGCCTCCAAAAGTGCTGGGATTACAGGCGTGTGCCACTTTGCCCAGCCTGTTTTTTAGTTCTTTTTAATAGAGGTCTGGAGTCTTCCTATGTTGCCTGTGCTAGACTTGTTCTACTGGGCTCAGGTGATTTTCTTGCTTATCTTTCCAAGTAGCTGGGAACATAAGCACATGTCACTGCACTTAGCTAAGAATCAAAATATTTTATTTAATAACAGTAGTAGGGGTGTTTTTCCCCCTTTTTAAAGAAAATGGGGCCTTAAAATTTTTGTAAGGTAAGATGAAAAGGGTGAATGTGGAGGGGCTTGACTGAGAGCAGGGTGGAAGATGTTGTGATTTAAGGGATTAAGTGAACAAGAGGAGGAATACTCTTTCCTCAGAAACGAGGAGGGACCTGAGAATACGTAGGGATATATGTATACCTCCTTGGAAGAGGGAAGGACATTAGCCATTTTGTTTCAGTATTTTTACCTAAATGTATTTCTCTCAAAGGTCAAGATCAAGGAGGCATTCTCATAGACGTTACACTCGATCCAGATCCCACTCTCACTCTCATAGGAGACGATCTCGAAGTAGATCATATACACCAGAATACCGGCGGCGAAGGAGCCGAAGTCATTCTCCAATGTCTAACCGGAGAAGACATACTGGCAGCAGGGTATGTGGTTTATAAAAGTTAATGAAGACTTATTTTTCCCTTCCCTGTGTTTAGTCATGGCATATCTTGCTTTTAGGAGAGCTTGGCCATTGTTTAGAAGTGATACTCTAGAAACATTCTTTTTTTTTTTTTGAGACAGTTTTGTTGTTGTCACCCAGGCTGCAGTGCAGTGGTAGAATCTTTGCTCACTGCAACTTTCACCTCCTGTGTTCAAGCTATTCTCCTGCCTCAGCTTCCTGAGAAGCTGGGATTACAGGTGCCCGCCACCATGCCCAGGTAATTTTTGTGTTTTTGGTAGAGGCAGGGTTTTACCATGTTGGCCAGGCTGGTCTTGAACTCCTGACCTCAGGTGATATCCACCTGTGTCGACCTTCCAAAGTGCCAGGATTACAAACATGAGCCACTGCTACTGGCCCTGGAAACATTTTTATTTTTATTTTATTTTTTTGAGACAGCGTTTTGCTCTTGTTACCTAGGCTGGAGTGCAATGGCACCATCTCGGCTCACCGCAACCTCCGCCTCCTGGGTTCAGGCAATTCTTCTGCCTCAGCCTCCTGAGTAGCTGGAATTACAGGCATGCACCACCATGCCCAGCTAATTTTTTGTATTTTTAGTAGAGACGGGGTTTCACCATGTTGACCAGGATGGTCTCAATCTCTCGACCTCGTGATCCACCCACCTCAGCCTCCCAAAGTGCTGGGATTACAGGCTTGAGCCACTCCTCCCGGCCTGGAAACATTCTTAATAAGCTGTGTTAGCTTTCAAAATGAAGCGAATGCCACCAATTTAGTAAGCTTACTTTTTTTGTTTGTTTACTTTTGAGAAGAGTCTTGCTCTGTCATCCAGGCTGGAGTGCAATGGCAAGATCTCAGCTCACTCCAACCTGCACCTCCTCGGTTCAAGTGATTCTCCTGCCTTACTCTCCTGAGTAGCTGGGATTACAAGCGCCCACCACCACTTGTCTGGCTGATTTTCGTATTTTTAGTAGAGGCGAAGTTTCACCATGTTGACCAGCCTCAACTCAAACTCCCGATCTCAGCTGATCTGCCCTCCTTGGCCTCCCAAAGTGCTGGGGTTACAGGTGTGAGCTATCATGCCCGACCAGGAATATATTTTTCTTTTTATCACTTTTGAATGTTAAAAAGTAGTTAAAAAGCTCGCACCTGTAATCTCAGCACTTTGGGAGGCCGAGGTAGATGGATCACATGAGGTCAGGAGTTCAGACCATCCTGGCCAACATGGTGAAACTCCTTCTCTACTAGAAATTAGCTGGGCTTGGTGGCTTATGCCTGTAATCCCAGTTACTCAGGAGGTTGAGGCAGGAGAAGATGTTGAACTCAGGAGGTGGAGTTTGCAGTGAGCCAAGATTGAGCTGCTGTATTCAAGACTGGCCTGGGCAAGAGAGTGAGACTCTGTCTCAAAAAAAAAAATAAAAGAAGATGAAATTTGGGAAGAAATATGTTCCAAGAATTAAAGTGAGAAGCATAAACTGAGTTGGGAATATTGGGGTATGTTCAAGGTTTTATGATGCAGTAAGGGGTCAAAGAAATACTAAAAACTTTGTAGTAGCTGAGCACAGTGGCTCACGCCTGTAATCCCAGCACTTAAGGAGGCCGAGGCAGGTGGATCATGAGGTCAAGAGATTGAGACCATCCTGGTCAACATGGTGAAACCCCGTCTCTACTAAAAATACAAAAATTAGCTGGGTGTGGTGGCGCCTACCTGTAATCCCAGCTCGGGAGGCTGAGGCAGGAGAATTGCCTGAACCCAGGAAGCGGAGGTTGCGGTGAGCCGAGTTCGCACTGTTGGACTCCAGCCTGGGTAACAAGAGTGAAACTCCATCTCAAAAAAAAAAAAGAGATTAGGACCATCCTGGTCAACATGGTGAAACCCTGTCTCTACTAAAAATACAAAAAATTAGCTGGGCATAGTGGCATGTGCCTGTAATCCCAGCTACTCAGGAGGCTGAGGCAGGAGAATCACCTGAACCCAGGAAGCGGAGGTTGCGGTGAGCCGAGATGGCGCCGTTGCACTCCAGCCTGGGTGACAAGAGCGAAACTCGGTCTCCAAAAAAAAAAAAAAAACTTTGTAGTAATCATAACACTTCTATTCAGTACATTTAAGACTCTTAACATCTCTGTGAGGCAGTCTGTCATGTTATAGATAAAGAAATTGAGGGGGCTGGGCGCGGTGGCTCAAGCCTGTAATCCCAGCACTTTGGGAGGCCGAGGCGAGTGGATCACGAGGTCCAGAGATCGAGACCATCCTGGTCAACATGGTGAAACCCCGTCTCTACTAAAAATACAAAAAAATTAGCTGGGCATGGTGGCACATGCCTGTAATCCCAGCTACTCAGGAGGCTGAGGCAGGAGAATTGCCTGAACCCAGGAGGCGGAGGTTGCGGTGAGCCGAGATTGCGCCATTGCACTCCAGCCTGGGTAACAAGAGCGAAAATCCGTCTCAAAAAAAAAAAAAGAAATTGAGGGGCCGGACGCGGTGGCTCACGCCTGTTATCCCAGCACTTTGGGAGGCTGAGGTGGGTGGATCACAAGGTCAGGAGATAGAGACCATCTTGGCCAACATGGTGAAATCCCGTCTCTACTAAAAATACAAAAAAAATTAGCCAGGAGTGGTGCGTTACACGTGTAGTCCCAGCTACTCAGGAGGCTGAGACAGGAGAATTGCTTGAACCCAGGAGGCGGAGATTGCAGTGAGCTGAGATCGTGCCACTGCACTTCAGCCAGTGTGGCAGTCCAAGACTCCTTCTCAAAAAGAAAGAAAGAAAGAAATTAATTCTTGGATGCATGACATTGAAGGGGTTTTGGTTTAATTTTTGCTAACTGGCAGTCTAGGTTTCAGCCAAGCTGCCTGACTCTGAAGTTCTTAGAGCATGTTAACATGCTGTGCTATGTCTCTCCCACAGGATACTGACTAACTTAACTGTGGTAGAGCATGTCATTATTTAATGTTTTGAAATCTGTAAATTTATTCCTAAAATCTGGATTATGGGAACACTGAAAGTATATTCCTTGCTAAAGAATTAAAATGGGCCAGGCATATTAGCTCACATCTGTAATCCCAACTACTCGGGAGGCTGAGATAGGAGGACTGCCTGAGCCCAAGGAGGCCCAAGGCTGTAGTGAGCCATGATCAGGCCACTAAACTTAAGCTTGGGCAACAGAGTGTGACCCTGTTTCAGGAAGAAAAATAAAAGAAAATAGAGGAGAGGGGGTCTAAATTAACAATTACAGATGAGGTCAAATTAGGTACAAATCTGTAAGGGGTGTAAAGCATTTGTATAAATTAGAAAGATGGAATTAAACTAAGGATACTTTCTTTTGTTTTTTTTTGAGAAGCAGTTCATTGTTGTTACCTAGGCTGGACTGCAATGGTGCTGTCTTGGCTCCCTGCAACCTCCACGTCCCTCAAGCAATTCTCCTGCCTCAGCCTCTGGAGTTAGCTGGGATTACAGGTGCCCGCCACCATGCCCAGCTAATTTTTGTATTTTCAGTAGAGATAGGGTTTCACCATGTTGGCCAGGCTGGTCTCGAACTCCTAACCTCAGGTGATCCACCTGCCTCAGCCTCCCAAAGTGCTGGGATGACAACATTTATAGGATACATTATAAAAATTTGCTGGGCTGGAAAGTAGGAATGCTTTAATTCGGGCTATAGACAGAAAGCATATCCCAAAGAAGGCTTTGAGGGTACTATGAATTGTAAACTATGGTTCATCTGCTTTAGTTCTCTTAAAATTTTATCTCCAAGTAACTAGAAACATTCTATTTATTGTGTATTGGATGAGGTGTTCTAAACAAAGTATTTCTGTGTTTTTTATTTTGATTTTAATTTGGACTTAATATTTTTATTCAATAGGCAAATCCAGATCCCAACACTTGCCTTGGAGTGTTTGGCCTCAGTTTGTACACAACAGAGAGAGATCTTCGTGAAGTGTTTTCTCGATATGGACCATTGAGTGGCGTCAATGTGGTTTATGATCAGCGAACTGGGCGATCTCGAGGATTTGCTTTTGTATATTTTGAGCGAATAGATGACTCAAAGGAGGTAAATTTAAATTTGTCTTTTATATGCCTGATTGTAGTACTGAATTAGTGTGAAAAGTTGATTAACAGACTTTTATTTCCATGATAGGACCTTGCTGATCTTGCTGTTGTCCAGGCTGGAGGGCAGCCTCCACCTCCTGGGCTCAAGCAGTCCTCCTACCCCAGCCTCCTGAGTAGCAGGGACTATAGGGGTGGGCCACCATGCCCAGATAATATTTTGTTGAGAGATGAGGTCTCACTATGTTGCCCAGGCTAGTCTCAAACTCCTGGCCTCAAGTGATCCTCCCAGAGTGTTGGGTTTCCAGGCACGTGCCACCATACCTGGCCTATTGTGTTCTTTCTAATTCTGACCTCATTCAAACTCTACCTCTCAGGATTACAGTTGGAGTGACCATAGTTTTACTTTTTTCAGTTATGCTCTCTGGCTTGGAATATCCTAATTGAAATCTGACCATGTGAAGTGAGCTATGCTTAAGTTAATGGAAAAAGTGTATTGTGTAAGTGTTCTCTTTTGAATAAGCCATATTGATGCTCTAAACAGATAATTAAATTAACTTTTAAGAATCTGTGATGTTTAGAGTTTGATATATTTAATTTTGTGTCTATAATGAACATTTTTCTACTCTCTAAATATTTGTGTGTCATTCTGTTCAATAATTGAAAAATAGTACATGAGCCAGGCGCGGTGGCTTACGCCTGTAATCCCAACACTTTGGGAGGCCGAGGCGGGTGGATCACGAGGTCAAGAGATCAAGACCATCCTGGTCAACATGGTGAAACCCCGCCTCTACTAAAAATACAAAAAATTAGCTGGGCATGGTGGCACGTGCCTGTAATCCCAGCTACTCAGGAGGCTGAGGCAGGAGAATTGCCTGAACCCAGGAAGCGGAGGTTGCGGTGAGCCGAGATTGTGCCATTGCACTCCAGCCTGGGTAACGAGCGAAATTCTGTCTCAAAAAAAGAAAAAAAAAGAAAAGAAAAAGAAAAATAGTACATGAAAAAATAGTACATGAAAAGAATTGACACATTTTAGTATGCTTTTTTTTTTTTTTTTTTTTTTTTTTTAATTTTATTTGAGATGGAGTCTTCCTCTATCACCCAGGCTGGAGTGCAGTGGGATGATCTTGGCTCCCTGAGTAGCTAAGACTACAGGCACGCGTCACCACGCTGAGCTAATTTTTTTGGTAGAGATGTGGTTTCACCATGTTGGCCTCAGGCTGGTCTTGAACTCTTGACCTCAGGTGAACCTCTTGCCTCAGCCTCCCAAAAGTGCTGGGATTACAGGTGTGAGCCAAAATTCGAGGCGTTTAGTGCTGTTTCTTTTTTTTTTTTTTTTTTTTTGAGACGGAGTTTCGCTCTTGTTACCCAGGCTGGAGTGCAATGGCGCGATCGCGGCTCACCGCAACCTCCGCCTCCTGGGTTCAGGCAATTCTCCTGCCTCAGCCTCCTGAGTAGCTGGGATTACAGGCACGAACCACCATGCCCAGCTAATTTTTTGTGTTTTTAGTAGAGACGAGGTTTCACCATGTTGACCAGGATGGTCTCGATCTCTCGACCTCGTGATTCACCCGCCTCGGCCTCCCAAAGTGCTGGGATTACAGGCTTGAGCCACCGCGCCCGGCCTAGTGCTGTTTCTTAACTTGCCTAATACAATCAACTAATCAATGTCAGTGGTTTGAAGTATTGATATTCTAACATATTAGGTATTATAAAGGAAGTGGTAGGCTTGCTTTAAATTTTTGCAGGGAGTTGGCCGGGCGCGGTGACTCAAGCCTGTAATCCCAGCACTTTGGGAGGCCGAGGCGGGTGGATCACGAGGTCAAGAGATCGAGACCATCCTGGTCAACATGGTGAAACCCTGTCTCTACTAAAAAATACAACAACATTAGCTGGGCATGGTGGTGCGTGCCTGTAATCCCAGCTACTCAGGAGGCTGAGGTGGGAGAATTGCCTGAACCCAGGAGGCGGAGGTTGCGGTGAGCCGAGATCGCGCCATTGCACTCCAACCTGGGTAACAAGAGCAAAAAAAAAAATTTTTTGCAGGGAGTCTCACTGTGTTGCCTGAGCTGATCTCGGAAACTGCTGGCCTCAAGCATTCTTCCTGTCTTGGCCTCCCAAGGTGCTAGAATTACTGATGTGAGCCACCATACCTGGCCTAGGCTCACTTTCTCTTTACTAAAAGTTGATGATAATTGATTTAGAAAATTGCATTTTAAGGAATTTAAAGCTCATTATTAAAGTTTTATTACACCTTTTCTTCTGTCTTCTAAGTTAAAAAATATATATTTGTATTTATCTATAAGTTTTATTAGACCTTAATAGGCTATCTTTCAAAAACAATAACCTCTTGGCATCTGGTAGGTAGGAGCCAGGGACACTGCTAAATACCATACAGTATACAATCTGGCACCCCATAGCATAGATTCAGTAGGTCCAAAATGTCAATAGTGCTAAGGTTGAGAAACCCTGGATAACTCTAACAAACTAATACTTCACTTTTTAAGTCGTTTATGTCATAGGCACGTTAATGCCTTAAATTTGTCTGTTTTACGGCTTTTTTTTTTAACTGTTACATGTTTGTTATTTGTATCTTTCTGTTCTTAATTAAGGAAGGTGTCAATTTAGAAATACTAGGATATCTGACCTGAAATAAAAGTTGCAAAGTGCAAACAAGAAGACAGTTTAATTTTTTTTAAATGTGAAACATGTTTATCCCTTGATTCCACCCCCCAACTTATACTTCTTTTTTTATTTTGTTTTGTTGTTGTTGTTTTGGAGACAGAGTTTTGCTCTTCTTACCCAGGCTGGAGTGCAATGGCACGATTTCGGCTCACCGCAACCTCTGCCTCCTGCATTCAGGCAATTCTCCTGCCTCAGCCTCCTGAGTAGCTGGGGTTACAGGCACTCGCCACCATGCCCAGCTAATTTTTTTTGTATTTTTAGTAGAGACGAGGTTTCACCATGTTGACCAGGATGGTCTTGATCTCGACCTCGTGATCCACCCACCTCAGCCTCCCAAAGTGCTGGGATTACAGGCTTGAGCCACCACGCCTCACCCTCAACTTATACTTCTCAATAAAGCTAAAATGGCAGGCTGGGTGCAGTGGCTCAAGCCTGTAATCCCAGCCAGCACTTTAGGAGTCTGACGCAGGTGGATCACCTGAGGTCAGGAGTTTGAGATCTGCCTGGCCAACATGGTGAAACCCCATTTCTAACTAAAATACAAAAATGAGCTGGGCATGGTGGTATGCACCTGTAATCCCAGCTACTCTGGAAGCTGAGGCAGGAGAATTGCTTGAACCTGGGAGGCGGAGGTTGCAGGATCCTAGTTCTTGCCACTGTACTGGGCAACAGAGTAAGACTCCGTCTCCCAAAAAAAAAAAAAAAAACCTAAAATGGCAACTTTAAAGACAGGAACAATTACTTAGTGTTCCTTTACGTAGAAGTTCCTTTAAATTCACTAGGTTGCAATGTGTTAAGGAGTGGCTTGACTAGGCTTGTCAGCTAAATTGCAGTTTCTCTTTTCAGTTGCCCAGACTCAATCCTCATCTAACAGGCGTGTTGTATGGTTTCTTCTCTATGGCTGAAACTGCCCCCAGTCTTTAGGGACAGGCCTTCTGAAGTGATTTTTTTTTTTTTTTTAATTCTGAGATGAGGTCTCGTTCTTTGCCCTGTCGCCTAGGCTGCATGGAGTGTGGTGGCACCATCTTGGCTTACGGCAACTTCTGCCTCCCAGGCTCAAGTGATCCTCCCACCTCAGCCTCCTGAGTAGTTGGGACGACAGGTGCATGTCACCTTGCCTGGCTAATTTTTTTTTTTTCTTTTTGAGACGGAGTTTCTCTCTTGTTACCCTGGCTAATTTTTGTAATTTTTTTTTGGTCTCCCTGTTGCCCAGGCTGACCTCAAACTCCGGACCTCAAGTGATCTGTCCTCCTTGGCCTCCCCAAAGTGCTAGGATTACAGGCATGAGCCACTGCACTTGGCTAAAGTGATTCTTTTTAATCTGTTAAAAATGTTTATTCCTTTTTGACTAACTTCTCCCTGATTCCAAAAATTTCACTGAAGTGTCAAAATTAATAGTGTGTATATGGTTAAGATAAACATATAAGCTCCTCACCCTGTTACAGTAAGAAATGCTTAAGAGATTTTTTTTTTCTTTTTTTGAGGCTTAAGATGAAGTGGGGGGAGATCAACTTGGAGAATTTTGATTGTTGAAACTTAAATGGAAAATTTGTTAAATGTGTTGCAGTTTTGCTTTTGCAGACATTTATGTGATATAATGTTCTTTTTAAAAACTGGGCCAGGTGTGGTGGCTCACGCCTCTAATCCTGGCACTTTGGCAAGAGGATCGCTTGAGCCCAGGAGTTTGAGACCAGCCAGGGGAAACACAAGGAGACTTGGTCTCTACAAATATATATGTGTGTATGTGAGAGAATAGGAAAAAAATTGGGTAGTTTTTTTAATACTCAGGGTATTACTTGTCCCAGAAACAAATAATACTCTGAGTTGTTCCTTTGAAAGAGATCAAAGAGAAATCTCTTGATCTTCAAGAATTAAGCTGGGGCCGGGCGTGGTAGCTCACGCCTGTAATCCCAGCACTTTGGGAGACCAAGGCGGGTGGATCACGAGGTCAACGAGATCGAGACTATCCTGCTCAACATGGCGAAACCCCGTCTCTACTAAAAATACAAAAAATTAGCTGGGCATGGTGGCACGTGCCTGTAATCCCAGCTACTCAGGAGGCTAAGGCAGGAGAATTGCCTGAACCCAGGAGGCGGAGGTTGCAGTGAGCCAGGATCACGCCATTGCACTCCAGCCTGGGTAACAAAGAGTGAAACTTTGTCTCAAAAAAAAAAAAGAAAGAAAAGAAAAAGAAAAAGAATTAAGCTGGGCAAAGTGGCTCATGCAATTTGGTTGGCTAAGGTGGGAAAATGCCATTTAAGGCCACTAGTTAGAGACCAGCCTGGGCAACGTATCAAGACCCTCTCTCTACAAAATCACGCAGGCTGGGTGCTGTGGCTCACACTTGTAATCACAGCACTTTGAGAGGCTAAGGTGGACAGATCACGAAGTCAAGAAATCAAGACCATCCTGGCCAACATGGTGAAACCTTGTCTCTACTAAAAATAGAAAAAATTAGCTGTTGTGCGCCTGTAGTCAGAGCTACTTGGGAGGCTGAGGCAGGAGAATCGCTTAGACCTGGGAGGCTGAGGTTGCAGTGAGCTGAGATTGTGCCACTGCACTCCAGCCTGGCGACAGAGTGAGACTCCATCTCGGATAGATGGATGGATGGATGGATGGATGGATGGATGGATGGATGGATGGGTGGGTGGGTGGGTGTAATCCATGCAGTCCATTGAATGGAATACTGTTTAGACCCCTTCTGTACCAAAATTTTTTATTTTAATTAGCCGAGCATGGTGGCACAGGTCCTAGCTACTCAAGAGATTAAGGCTGAAGGATTGCATAAGCCAAGAAGTTTGAGACCAGTGAACTATGATCTTGCCACTGCCAGCCAGCTTGGGCAATGGAGTGAGACCCTGTCTCTTATTTTAATGACCTTTAGTTTATGGGGGACTCTTCTGGAGAAATATTTGTGGATACATAAAAATTGTGTAGTTTTATTACTTTATTGTACTTCTGTTAGTTCAGTCTCAGTAAAAGGCTAAAAGGCATTACCATAAATTTGTACTTGTCTCTTCATATCATTTCTTCTTGACTGCTCACTGAGTCTTACCAGTATATTAGACTGCAAACTATTTGAGGCACATTATAAAGAGAACCTGTATAAAGCTTAGCTAACCATTTTTAATGTTATGAAATCAGTCTTTATAAGTGAAATTGCTGGAGACTAGAAAGTGTGAAATGGCAGTCTACCTGGGCAGCCTACAAAAAATTTATCTTGAAGAGAGAGACTTCAGTCTCCACTTCCCTTGTTAATCTCATGGAGTAGGGAGTGGAAATTGTGCCAGAACGGTAAAATTATTTGGGAAACTTTGTTAACTACTGTTTGTACTGAGTAAATTAAAATGTTTCTGGACATTGTTGAGGTCCAGAATTATCTATACAATGCCCTGTACAAGCTACATTGCTGTCATTTTCAAAATTGTGAGTTTATCTGGACTAGAAATACTTTGTGCTTAATTTCGAGTAATGATTACTTCAAGACTGGTTAATTATACATAACTTTCTGTGCCTGTTCTCCTTTATAGGCTATGGAAAGGGCAAATGGAATGGAGCTGGATGGTAGAAGAATTCGAGTGGATTATTCTATCACGAAGAGAGCGCACACACCTACACCAGGCATCTACATGGGCAGACCAACCCAGTAAGAGTTCAAGTTTCCTAAGCTAAACTAAGAAATCCACCAGAAATATGTGCAAAATTTTGATTATTCAGAAGAGAACTTTTTTTTTCCTGTACTTAAAATTGATTTTGGCAAGGTGGGGTGAGATTAAGACAGGGTCTCACTCTGTGACCCAGGCTGGGGTGCCGTGGAGCCCGTTAGCTTACTGTAACCTCTGCTTGCTGGATTAAACAGTCCTCCCACCTTAGCCTCCCAGGTAGCTGGAAGTACTGGCACATGCCACCACGCTCAGCTGATTTTTGTATTTTGTAGAGATGGGGTTTTGCCTTCTGGGATTTCACTTTGTTGCCCAGACTGGTCTTGAAATTGTGGGCTGAAGTGATCTGCCCACCTTGACCTCCCAAAGTGTAGGATTACAGGTGTGAGCCACCGTGCCAGGATAGAATTAAAATTTAAATGCATTTTTTGTTTGTTTGTTTTTTAGAGATGAGATCTCACTGTGTTGTACAGGCAGGTGTTGAACTCCTGTGCTCAAGCAATCCACTGGCCTCAGCCAGTCTTTATTTTTACACACTTACTATTTTTACACACATATATTTAAGGAAGAGAATAAATTAAAACTATCAGGCCAGGCGCGGTGGCTCAAGCCTGTAATCCCAGCACTTTGGGAGGCCGAGGCGGGTGGATCATGAGGTCAAGAGATTGAGACCATCCCGGTCAACATGGTGAAACCCCGTCGCTACTAAAAATATAAAAAATTAGCTGGGCATGGTGGCACGTGCCTGTAATCCCAGCTACTCAGGAGGCTGAGGCAGGAGAATTGCCTGAACCCAGGAGGCGGAGGTTGCGGTGAGCCGAGATCGCGCCATTGCACTCCAGCCTCGGTAACGAGTGAAACTCCGCCTCAAAAAAAAAAAACTATCAAAAGTGCATCCTGGCTTTTTACCCCCAAACCTTGCTCACCTCTTGGTACTATACAAGCAGAAAAATTATTCGATGCTAGTAAAATAGCATATGGTGCTTATTTTTTATTTATTTATTTTTTGAGACGGAGTCTTGTCCTCTTGCCAACCCTGGAGTGCAGTGGCCTGATCTGGGCTTACTGCAGCCTCTGCCTCCCAGGTTCAAGTGATTCTCCCACCTCAGTCTCCTGAGTAGCTGGGATTACAGGCACCTGCCACCACACCCATCTAATTTTTTGTAGTTTTAGTAAAGACCGTGTTTCACTGTGTTGGCCATGCTGATCTCAAACTCCTGACCTTGTGACCCGCCCACCTCAGCCTCCCAAAGTGCTGGGATTACAGGTATGAGCCACCATGTCCAGCCCGTATGCTGTTTAAATATTGATTCTCTTTTTGTTATGTGACCTGGGGAAGCCTCTGTGTATAAAACAGATTTTATTGATTTTAGCATTTGTTAAAAATGTTAAAGATGCCACAGTAGGCTGGGGCATGGTGGCTCAAAACCTGTAATCCCAGCACTGGGAGGCCAAGATGGGCAGATCACTTGAGCCTAGGAGTTTGTGACCAGCTTGGACAACATGGTGAAACCCCATCTCTACTAAAAATATGGTGGCATGCACCTGTAGTCCCAGCTACTTGGGAGGCTGAGGTGGGAGGATCGCTTCAGCCAGGGAAGCAGAGGTTGCACTGAGCCAAGGTCACACCTCGTAAGCTAAAGAATAAGATGGGAGGCAGGTTATTAAAAAAAAATCTGTGGCACCTTGTGAGCAACCTTGGCTCACTGCAACCACTGCTGCTGCCTAGGCTGAAGCAATCCTCCCACCTCAGCCTCCAAGTAGCTGGGATTACAGGTGTGTGCCATCGTGCTTTTTTTTTTTTTTTTTGGACAAGAATCTGTCGCCCAGGGTGGAATGCAATGGCTCGATCTCAGCTCACTGCAACCTCCACTTCCCAGGTCCAAGCAGTTCTTCTGCCTCAGCCTCCCAAGTAGCTGGGATACACCTGGCTAATTTTATTTTTTTTATTTTTAAAATAGAGACGGGGTTTCACCATGTTGGCCAGTATGGTCTCGATCTCCTGACCTCATGTTACCCCCATCTCTGCTTCCCTAAGTTCTGGGATTACAGGCGTGAGCCACCGTGTCCGGCTTTAATGTTTTTATTTTTAAAGAGAAATGGTCTCATTATATTGCCCAGGTGGGTCTTGAACACTTGGGCTCAAGTAATTCACCCACCCTAGCCTCCCAAAGTGCTGAGATTACAGGCATGAGCCACTGTGCCCCAGCCTGATGCTATAGTTTTAACAATGACCAAAACATAAACAGGGACTTGGTGTAGTGGCTCACAGCTCTAATTCCAGCACTTTGGGAGGCTGAGGCAGGCAGAACCCTTGAGGCCAGCAGTTCGAGACCAGCCTGGGCAACATGGCAAAATGCTGTCTCTACTAAAAAATACAAAAACTAGCCTGGTGTGGTCACACACACGTAATTCCAGCTACTCGGGAGCTGACGCACAAGAATCATGTGAACCTGGGAGGCAGAGGTGGCAGTGACCCAAGATTCCGCCACTGCACTGTAGCCTGGGAGACAGTGAGACTCTGTCAAAAACACACACACACACGTTTTTTGTTTTGTTTTGTTTTGTTTTGTTTTGTTTTGAGACGGAGTTTCGCTCTTGTTACCCAGGCTGGAGTGCAATGGCACGATCTCGGCTCACCGCAACCTCCGCCTTCTGGGCTCAGGCAATTCTCATGCCTCAGCCTCCTGAGTAGCTGGGATTACAGGCATGTGCCACCATGCCCAGCTAATTTTTTTTTTTTTTTTTTTTGTATTTTTAGTAGAGACGGGGTTTCACCATGTTGACCAGGATGGTCTCGATCTCTTGACCTCGTGATCCACCCGCCTCGGCCTCCCAAAGTGCTGGGATTACAGGCTTGAGCTACCGCGCCCGGCGTTTTGTTTTGTTTTAAGATGGGGTTTCACCATGATGGCCAGGCTGATCTTGAACTCCTGACCTCAGGTGATCCACCCACCTCGGCCTCCCAAAGTGCTAGGATTACAGGCATGAGCCAGCGCGCCCGGCCACACACAGTTTTTAAAAATATTTTATAGCCAAAAGCAGTATTCACGGATATTTCTTGGGAATAAAAACCTTGGTATTCTCTTTGGTGTCTAGAGTTAGTCACTTTAAAATTCTTCGTGTTTATTGCCTTTTAGTCCCAGGGATGTGCTTTATTTATTTATTTATTTTACCTGTCTCATTTAGCAGTAGGGATGCATCTTAGCATTTTTATACTGCTCCTCAGCACAGTGCTGCATCATTTCAATTTGTTGAAAAGGTTGATGATTTGGGCAGTGCATTAATAGAAGAGCAGTTAGTTTTGAGAGTTTTATGAAAGCCTTCTTGGTTATGTATGTAGTGAATTAGAAGGCAAAGCAGAATACCATGGAAGTCAGTAAAATGAGATATGAAGGCAATTTTGCACAAAAGGGATCTTCTTTATTTTCTCTTTTTTAAGCCATTCAGTTTGTATTAAAGTGTACTGGAAAATAGTTACTCAAACTAATGCAGAATTTTTACATTTTTCTGCAGTAGTGGTGGTGGTGGTGGAGGAGGAGGCGGCGGTGGAGGTGGAGGTGGTGGCAGACGTCGAGATTCTTACTATGATAGAGGATATGATCGTGGATATGACAGATATGAAGACTATGATTACCGGTACAGGTAATGTTTTAACTTTATCTTTCTGTTCTTAATTAGATGATAGTAGTGTTACTTGGCACTTTTATGTTTGATACATACAAATGAAAACTTGGTTTTTAAAATAGATTATATATGATGCTTTGGGAACAGAGGTTAACTGTATGTGCCACTGTTTTGTTGTGCCATATACTTACTGTTCTCATTGGCCCAAAGAGAACTTAATATTAAGTAGTTATCATCTTAGGGTACCTTAATATTTTGAATGTTGAGAAATTTTTACTTTTCACCTGCCTCGGTGGAGTGATTATATAGTATGCTAAGTAATCTTTCATTTCTTACAGAAGACGATCACCTTCTCCTTATTATAGTCGATACAGATCACGATCAAGATCTCGTTCCTACAGCCCAAGTATGTGAACTTTGATTTTGTAGCATTAAAAAAACTGATTTCTAATTAATGGCTTACTTTAGAATATTAGGGTAGAAGGTGGAAGGTGGCAGTTGATAGTTGGAAAAATATTAGGCATATTAAACTATAATTGTTAATTTTTTTGCTTTTTCTCTTTTAGGACGCTACTGATAACGGAATGGTTGCAATTAAGGATATTTTTCCTCTCTCTTTTTTTTTTTTTTTTTTTTTTTTTTTTTTTTTTTTTTTATTCTGAGATTTCCCCAAGCTTCGGATTCTTCCTACTCATTAAGAAAAAAAAAGCTTTGGTTTATTTAGCATCTACACTTTTGTGAATTGTGTTGCTGTTTTCCACCCCTTTTATTATACTCTTAAAGATGTAATTGTCATTTTGAGTAGTTAAACATCTTGAGTATAACAGGAACCCCCCCAGTGTTATGCTTTGTACTTTTTTTTTTTTTTTTGCTTTTACCGAGGTAAACTTCCAGCTAATCAAATAACGAAAAAATTGTGTTTTTATAGCTTCTTTTGTGTTACATACTGTATTAGAGATCTGCATTTATGAGTAGCTCATTTTTTAACTTTATTTTGGGGAAGGTAGTAGTAACACATGAAGTAATTCATTCATGTCAGGTTTGTCTGGGGTGGCATGGAACAGTCAGGTAGTTGAGTATAGAAACTTTGAAGCAATAGAAGAAAACACTTGGACATTTCTTTTGAAGAACGGAATTTTTGAACCCTAAAAATTAAGTCTTTTTTTTTAAGAGATGAAAAGCTTGTGGACTCCTGTAAAACATTCTGTATTTGAAATACATCTGTTAAAACTTAAAAACTGAAGTGTGATTTTTTTGTTGTTGTTGTAAAATTTATTGAAGTTTATTCCCTTAATCAGTGAAGGATAACTCTTATTTATTACCTAGAGCAGTTGTATAATTTGTTGTTAGAAATTTTGGTATTGGGACAGTGGATAAAGCAGGTTATCATATAGTATAGAATCCTTAGAAGATACCTGTGGGGAAACATAGTCTCAAATAAAAGTTAATTTCTTTGAAAATGGGACTGTCTCTTTATTGTGGTACAATGGAGAAATACAACAATTGAGGAACTGGTCTTTCTTTTTCCCTCACATTCCCCTAGTACATATTTATTCAGAAGTTTACCCATCCTTGGTTTTAATTTCCCAATACTTCTCATTTAAAAAAAAATATATATATATATGTATATATATATATATATATATGTGTGTGTGTGTGTATATATATATATATATATATGTATATATATAATTTTATTTATTTTTTTTTTTGAGACAGAGTCTCACTCTGTCACTAGGCGCCAGGCTGGAGTGCAGTGGTGCGACCTCGGCTCACTTCAACCTCTCTCCTGGGTTCAAGCAATTCTGCCTCAGTCTCCCAAGTAGCTGGGACTACAGGCACACACCACTACACCCAGCTAATTTTTTTGTATTTTAGTAAGGGTTTCACCATGTTGGCCAGGATGGTCTCGATCTCTTTTTTTGAGACAGTTTCCCTCTTGTTACCCAGGCTGGAGTGCAATGGCGCGATCTCGGCTCACCACAACCTCTACCTCCTGGGTTCAGGCAGTTCTCCTGCCTCAGCCTCCTGAGGAGCTGGGATTACAGGCACGTGCCACCATGCCCAGCTAATTTTTGTATTTTCAGTAGAGACAGGGTTTCACCATGTTGACCAGGATGGTCTCGATCTCTAGACCTCGTGATCCACCCGCCTCAGCCTCCCAAAGTGCTGGGATTACAGGCGTGAGCCACCGCGCCTGACCAGTCTCGATCTCTTGACCTTGTGATCTGCCTGCCTTGGCCTCCCAAAATGCTGGGATTACAGGCGTGAGCCACCGCACCTGGCCTAAAAAATACATTAACACCAGAATGTTATTTCTTGTCTCTTCTTCGGTCTTTGAAAACCCTTGTTTTTCTTGTCTTTTGGGAGAGAAGAAATTATAAATACTGCGAATATTCAGTACTAGCACCATGCTGAAGGAAAGATAGGTAGTTAATATCTTCACAAAGTCTGAATATATTCTAGTAGGAAACTCATGTAAATGACTGTACTGTAAAATAAGAAGATGTTTCAAGTGACCTTTGAAAAAAGGTGTTAGGGGCCAGGCACAGGGACTCAATGTCTATAATCCCAGCACTTTGGGAGGCTGAGGTGGATAGATCACCTAGGGTCAGGAGTTCAAGACCAGGCTGGCCAACGTGATGAAACGCCGTTTCTACCAAAAATACAAAAATTAGACGTGATGGCGGTTGCCTAAGGAGGCTAAGGCAGGAGAATCGCTTGCATCTGGGAGGTGGAGGTTGCAGTGACCCAAGATCATGCCATTGCACTCCAGCCTGGGCAACAGAGGAAGAATCCATTTCCCCAAAAATAGAAAAAAAGAAGGGCATGGTGGTTCATACCTGTGTTCCCAGCACTTCGGGAGGTCAAACAAGGTCACTCAAGGTCAGGAATTCGAGACCAGCCTGGCCAAAACGGTCTCAAAAGATGTTAGCCAGGCACAGTGGCTCACAACTGTAATCCCAGCACTGGGAGACTCAGACGAGGATCACGAGGTCAGGAGATCGAGACCATCCTGGCTAACCTGGTTAAACTCCATCTGTACTAAAAATAAGAAATTAGCCAGTTGTGGTGGCACACACCTATAGTCCCTGTAGTCCCAGCTACTCCGGAGACTGAGCAGGAGAATGGCTTGAATCCAGGAGACAGGTTGCAGTGAGCCGAAACTGCACCACTGGACTCCAGCCTGGGCAACAGAGCAAGACTGTCTGAAAACAAATTTTTTGTCAAAGACCTGTCCTTTTTAAATATATTTTGTCACTAGGGAGCTGAGCTCAGTAGTGTGCACCTGTAGTTACAACTACTTGGGACACCGAGGCAGAAAGTGATTTTGAGCATAACTACTCAAAATATAAATAAAAGGTTGGCCGGGCGCGGTAGCTCAAGCCTGTAATCCCAGCACTTTGGGAGGCTGAGGCGGGTGGATCACGAGGTCAAGAGATCGAGACCATCCTGGTCAACATGGTGAAACCCCATCTCTACTAAAAATACAAAAAAAGAACTGGGCATGGTGGCACGTGCCTATAATCCCAGCTACTCAGGAGGCTGAGGCAGGAGAATTGCCTGAACCCGGGAGGCGGAGGTTGTGGTGAGCTGAGATTGCGCCATTGCACTCGAGCCTGGGTAACAAAGTGAACCTCCGTCTCAAAAATAAATAAATAAAAATAAAAAAAGATTTCTCGACCTCCATTTTTTCTGTTTACTATTAGGCTTGGTGCAGTGGCTCAATCCTGTAATCCCAGAACTGGGAGGCCAAGGCAGGTGGATCACCTGAGGTCACAAGTTTGAGACCAGCCTGGCCAACATGGTGAAACGCTGTCTCTATTAAAAATATAAAAATAGGCCGGGCGCGGTGGCTCAAGCCTGTAATCCCAGCACTTTGGGAGGCCGAGGCGGGTGGATCACGAGGTCAAGAGATCAAGACCATCCTGGTCAATATGGTGAAACCCCGTCTCTACTAAAAATACAAAAAATTAGCTGGGCATGGTGGCACATGCCTGTAATCCGAGCTACTCAGGAGGCTGAGGCAGGAGAATTGCCTGAACCCAGGAGGCGGAGGTTGCGGTGAGCCGAGATCGCGCCATTGCACTCCAGCCTGGGTAACAAGAGCGAAACTCCATCTCAGAAAAAAAAAAAAAAAAAAAAAAATATATATATATATATAAAAATAGGCCGGGCGCGGTGGCTCAGCCTGTAATCCCAGCACTTTGGGAGGCCGAGGCAGGTGGATCACAAGGTCGAGAGATCGAGACCATCCTGGTCAACATGGTGAAACCCCGTCTCTACTAAAAATACAAAAAACTACCTGGGCGTGGTGGCGCGTGCCTGTAATCCCAGCTACTTAGGAGACTGAGGCAGGAGAATTGCCTGAGCCCAGGAGGCGGAGGTTGCGGTGAGCCGAGATCGCGCCATTGCACTCCAGCCTGGGTAACGAGAGCGAAACTCCGTCTCAAAAAAAATAAAAAAATAAAAATAATAAAAATAAAAATAAAAATAGCTTGGTGTGGTGGTGGACACCTGTAATGCCAGCTACTCAGGAGGCTGAGGCAGGAGAATCTCGAACTCAGGAAGCGGGGGTTGCAGTGAACTGAGATCGCACCACTGCACCCTAGCCTGGGCAAGAGAGCCACACTCCATCTCAGGGAAAAAAAAAAAATCTTAAGTGTTTTCAACTGATGCGTAAGAAAAACTGCTTCTGTTGGTTCGCTTAATTCCTTACAACCATGGTTCCTACTTAATCTTATTTGGGTCCTAGAGCCCTAAAATAAATCTGAAAAACCTGCAGTTTGTCTTCGAGAAACACTTCTGTGAAAGTTGCTGGTGTTTTTGTGTTGAGACAGGGTCTCTTGTCACCCAGGCTGGAGTGCAGTGGTGTGATCACAGCTCACTGCAGCCTCAACCTGCTGGGCTCAAGCAATTCTCCCACTTCAGCCTCCCAAATAGCTGGGTCTACAGGCACACGCCTCCACACCTGGCTCATTTTTGTATTGTTTTGTAGAGACAGGGCTTTGCCATGTTGCCCTGGCTGGTCCCAAACTCCTGGGCTCAAGAAAATTCACTTGCCTCAGCCTCAAAAAGTGGGATTACAGGCATGACTCACCATGCCCAGCAAAGCATTTGGCTTTTAAATTATAATATTATACATAGAATAAGATCTATAAGAATATACACCAGCCGGGCGCGGTGGCTCAAGGCTGTAATCCCAGCACTTTGGGAGGCCGAGGCGGGTGGATCACAAGGTCAAGAGATCGAGACCATCTTGGTCAACAAGGTGAAACCCCGTCTCTACTAAAAATACAAAAAATTAGCTGGGCATGGTGGTGCGTGCCTGTAATCCCAGCTACTCAGGAGGCTGAGACAGGAGAATTGCCTGAACCTAGGAGGCGGAGGTTGCGGTGAGCCGAGATTGTGACATTGCACTCCAGCCTGGGTAACAAGAGTGAAACTCCGTCTCAAAAAAAAAAAAAAAAAAAGAATATTCACCAATCTCCTAATAGTGGTTACCTTGTGGAGTGGTAATCTGGAGAGAGGAGGTGAAAGGAACTTTCCTAAAACCAACAAAACCATTTTATGCGGGCACTATGTTGCCTATGCTGGAGTCCCAACTCTAACATAGTGCCCAGCACAAAACTGGGACTCATGGGTTCAAGCAATCCTATTGCTTTGCCCTCAAGAGTAGCTGAGACTAGATCTGTGTGCCACCAAGCCTGGCCCATGTTTGTTCAGGATGTGATTGCTTATCAGTGTTAGAACATTTTGAATTGCATAGCAACTTGAACTATTGTGTACAAATACAAATTGGTTTGCCACGACAATTTAAAGCCCAGCATTTGTAATGTAATATAAAGATTTAGTAATTTGAAATATGCCTACCCCTGATGTCAAATTTAATGCTTTGGATTAATTTTTAGTGTGTGAATGTTTTTCCCTCCCAATTAAGTTGAAATTAAATGAATGGTTAAAAAAAAAGTGCATTTTTGTATTTTATGAAACAATTCAGATACTTATTGACGTTAAAAGGTCAGGGAGGAGTCTCTGAGCCTGCTAGGGAGGCTGCTCAATAATTGAAAAAAGAAAAAGGCAAGAATTACACTATCAATAGGAATAATGAATATAGAAAACAAGAAAGTTCCAAGTAGCTTCCAAAAAGTCAAACATACAAAGTGGAATAAAAGGTTTGCCAATTTCTACTCCCACTAACCATGTAAGAGAAGGGGAGAGGCCAGAGCAGTGGCTCACACCTGTAATCCCAGCACTTTGGGAAGCTGAGGCAGGTGGATCACCTGAGGTCAGGAGTTTGAGACCAGCATGGCCAACATGGCAAAATCCTGTCTCTACTGAAAATACAAAAATTAGCTGGGCATGGTGGATGCCTGTAATACCAGGTACTTGGGAGGCTAAGGCAGGAGAAATCACTTGAACCCAGAAGGCAGAGGTTGCAGTCAGCAGAGATCACACC